GTTTATGTTTCGCATAAAATTCCAGTTGAAATGTCCTAGTTGAAGGAGTGTTAGTTGATAATGTTGTTAGTTGAAATGTGGCTAGTTGAAATGTCGCTAGTTGAAATGTCTTAGTTGAAATGTCGCCAGTTGATAAGACATGGACCCGCATTGAGATACCTATCTGTGTGGGTTGGCTTGCGATATACTTGGTGGCCTAGAGTGCCGTCCTCGTTGCGTCGAACCAGGACAACTAGGAATGGAAGACATCTATCTTGTTCAATTTCCATAGTGAACTTGATGCTCACATGCTGAGTATTCAAGAACTCCAGGAATTTAGTTAGAGCAGTCTTTCCATGTGGCCAGATGACAAAAGTATCGTCCACATACCTGAACCATACAGTAGGTTTCTGAGGTGCTGACTTCAATACTTCGTTCTCGAAGTGTTCCATGAATATATTTACAATAATCGGGGAAATGGGAGACCCCATTGCCGCTCCCGATTTCTGCTCATAGTACTCTCCTTTGAACTGAAAGTATGTAGAAGTCAAGCAATGCTCAATCAGGGGAAGAAATTGAAAAGAGATGTTGTTGGATTTCTGGATGATTTCCAAGGTTTCTGGGATTGGGACGTTAGTGAAGAGTGATTCCACATCAAAACTCACTAGGATATCATCTGNGCCTTCCCTTGTGGTGGTGGGGGAAGGGGAAGGGGGGGGGTGCTCAGCCAATCATATATTTTTAATTGATCAGCTGGTCAAGCTGATCACCACAAGGGAAGGCATATGAGGACTACCCCTAGACATCGGAGCTCAAAATCGGACCTCATAGCCCTGAAGATGCAGACTGCAATGTTTGCGAAACGTCGGCGCAACGCTGAATCCAAACGCGGCATCCATCCGGAAGCCAAAGATTTCANAAGTCTAGGAGGAAAGGATTCTTTAGGGGTAAGGAATTTCGTCAGGTCAGCCGAGAAACCAGCCTTCTTCAGCAGATCAGCAGTTTTTCGCTCAATTGTACGAGTAGGGTCCTTCCTAAGTTTAACGTAAACTCTGCAGTCACCCAACATCGTACTGAGCATACCGGAGTAGTCGTCTTTATCCATAACCACCGTGGCATCGCCTTTGTCTGCCGGAAGAATAATCAGATCATTATTCTCCTTTAGACTACNTGACCCTCCTCTTAGTGACCCTTGTAACGTTTGACCCTTAGTGAAATTTACATACTTCATGTGCTAAGTCAACATATCTCTTTTTTTTGTGATAACCGAACGAGTTAAGTCAACTTGACTCTCCACACAGAATTGAAATTTGGAGGTAACTACTTAAAACTGCGTAAAGGATTAATTCCGTAATTTGATAATAGGGTATAAAGTTAAAGGACAGTAGAATAAAGATTCGGCGTCATTTGTGCTAAATTTCCCACTATCGATGACATAGACTTTTTTTGCTCTCCTGTAAAATTTCATTTTATGCACTTACCTCGTTTTACCAGTTCACTATAGAGATCATCGTCTCCCACGTACAAGATTGTCTTCCGCGCCGAAGGCGAGGATGGCAAGCACGTGGGGGAGTGTGATATGTTTTCCATGGCAAGGTGTGTATATTTATTTTCGTGTCGAGGGACCTGCAAACCTGGACCTGGACCTGGGTTTTTCAGGTCCCGTGACACGAAAAGAATATTTTCTTCGGCTCAGTCGAAATTTTGTACGTATTACGGGTACGGGGCTCGTGCCGCAGAACGCCGAACAGCGCCGCCTATTGCGATATTTGGCTCTATTATTACGAGGAGCCGATGAGCGATTCCCTCATCGCACGTCTCAAGAACGGTGGTGGAACGGCGCGCCTACTGACAGGTTAAAAAATCGATAGTAAAGAGATCGGATTGCATAAAATGTATTTCTGGCCTCGTCACTCCGACTCTCAACTGACTCTCAATTTTCTCTCAAACAGGAAATTATGGAGAGTCCAAATATCAACTTGGTCCATCCCTATAATTTTCTCGAAAACAGGAGAATTTTCCTAGAATTTTCTCGAAAACCTAAGAATTTTCTAAAACGTTCTCGAACACCTTAGAATTTCCTCGATTTTTTTTTGTTGAAAATTCGAGATATTATAATAGGAGGGGGTGGGGCAATATGGACGCCAGATTTAAATAATGAGTTGAATTTGATCAAATCTACTCTTCCGACTTCATTTGAAGGTCATAAAAGCCAACAGATTCTCATAAGAGTGCGTCGTAAGAAAAAACCGGGTAAAATGGATACTTTGATTTTCTTCTCAATTTTTTATGTTTCAACAATTTTATTCAATTTCTGAAACGCTAGTCATCATTGCGATTTTCAAATTGAAAAAAAAAATTATTTTTGACGTTCGTCATGGGCGGTGGTAAATCAAATTTTTCCTTCCTCATTTATCCTCCTCTCCGCCTATTGTTTTATCCCAAGCAGCACAGTTCTGGAGGGTATCTGCAAGTATACTAAAAAGGTATACTAATGTCTGTCCAAAAAGATAACTTGTGTCTAGAAGTTACCTAGAAGTTAACTAAAAGTTATCGTATGACTGCAAGATACCTTTTGGACGGACATTAGTCAGCCTTTTTGGTATACTTTCAGATATCTTTCGCAAGGTTTGCTACTTGGGATGGTGATTTCCTCTTTAAGTAGAAAAGTAGTCATCTTACAAATTTCACAAATGGACAAAAGGTCAGATGTGTAGGGCATGCAATTGATAATTGAAAAAGAATTAATAATTTCAAAGTTATTTCAAGAGTAAAACAGGAAATTCAAAGCTACTTTATATTTCAAACTTCAATGTGAAATTTAATAGAGTCGAAGTTTGTTTGTTAATATCTTTCCCAACTCTAATTTTTCTTTATAAAAAGATACCGACACGATTCTGTTGGAAAATGTCTTTTAAAAATTTTCTTTATTTTTGGATAGAACCAAATTTTTCGGATATCCATTTTAGCCCACTCTTGAATAATTTCTCAGTTGTAGACCTTGCCAAGAAGCAATTTTTAAAAATCAATTATTGAAAATGTTTTGAGTGTTCATTTTAGTCCCGCCCATAGAGATTTATCCATAATGCCCAATGAAACGATTTTCAAAAATTTGAATTTTGAAAAAAAAAAAAATTTCGCAAATTTTTGAGTGTCCATTTTTCCCCGAATGTCCATATTACCTCGCCCCCCTCTAATTTTTTCAAAAACCAAAGAATTTTACTAGAATTTTCCCGAAAACCTAAGAATGATCTAGAACTGTCTCGAAAACCCAAGCTTTTTTTGGAATTTTCTAGAAAACTGGAGATTTTGTTTGAATTTTCCAAAGAATAGGAAAATTTTCTCGAAAACCTAAAAATTTTCTCGAACGTGCTCGGACACCGTAGAATTTCCTCGAATTTGGTTTGAAAACTCTAAATATTCATATAATTTTTTCAAAAACCACAATTTTCCAGAATTTTCTCAAAAACCGGAGAATTCTCTCGAAAATCGGAAATATTTCTCGAAAACTTCATGGGAAACATCAGAACATCTACCGGAAAAAATAAACACGAAGAGAATAAGAAACAAAAATTGCGGGGCCCTTTCCAAGCCCCACTTTTATATGTCACCCTGGTTTCCTGCCATTCCCGCAGTTACCGACATAGCTATGGTTCGGATAAAGCTTCTTGCTTTGACCGCAAAGTGGGGGGGCGGAAAATCGCCACTCGAGAAAAAAATCCCTCCATGCGGGCCTTAACAAAATGTTAAAAATTTTGAAAATTGGAAAAAAAGTTGAAATCGGATGAAAACTGTCGAGAATAGACCGCTACCTGAGCGAGTGGATTGTGCAAGGAGGATTTTTAAGCTAAAAACGTGAAAAATGACGATTTAATGGATATAAGGGGCGAAACAGGTCAGGTCCGAAATGTTTCTTACTTTTTAATATATCATATACCAAAAGTCGTCCAAAGGCTCGTAAGGTTAAGCGAAAACTTTAAAATTTCACCGCGATCTCCCCTTAAGATGAATGAAATTCATTCACAATAAAAGATGGAGCAGAAGTCAAAGGAAAAAGATGAAGTTGAAGATATGCGGTGACAATATTTTAAACGCAAAATTATATCGATTAAATGAACGACAAATGAATTGAATTAGCAAGTGAAATATAACTAAAAGAATTTCTAACAATGCTGACACGCACTTTTAGCAGAGTATCAACAAACATTGAATTCCAGAAATGTACTCTCTAAATTATATTCATGAAGAAATTGGATTGCAATTTTGAGTAAATTCTTCCTCGATGAGCATAGAAATTATAACATAAGCAATATCAAATCGTTCATTCCAATATTAAAGTTTGTCAAATTATAACATATTATTCTCATTGGCCGTATTGCTCTTGGGATAAGCCTCAACACGGAGAATAAAGTGAAAAAAAATGCAGAATCTGACATGAAAAAGAGCATAATGGAAGAGCATCAACACTCAAGCGCTAGTCTAGGAAAATTTTAAGACTTACCCAAAACACCGTACTGCTGTGGAGTTAGTCTGATATCACCATCCGGTCCTCCAGGAATTGAAGAAACCAACGAAGCCCGATCACTGATGTGACTCCGGGTACTTGCTTCACTTCTCTTGGCCCACGATACTTGAGAAACCGTGTCTGTAGGTCATATACGTTGATTAGAATAAATACGATATTCCTAAAACACTGAAGTTGATTTAGAAAATATTCTCACCAAAATTCGAGGGTTTCGCACTCAATAATCGTTGCCTGAGATCCCTCGTAGGCCGGCGATTGATAGGATGGGATGGTCGCCTTCTTCTCTTCAAATACTTGGCTAAACCACCCAGCAACAATGTCCCACTCGTGAGACATATAATAAAAATCTAACAAGCATAATAACAATGTTATAATGATAATAGTACATCAAATGCCAATAAAGAACACTATAAAACCAAAAATAAATAAATGAACCCTAACCTATCGCAGTTGTCCATGATTGATTACCTTCTGTGTCCTTGATAAATTAATATATGGCAGTCGAACATTGGGACAGTGTGAGTAAATTCTCCCGAAGAACTGCTGAGCACCCAGTAGTGACATTGTCACCAATTGTATTACAAATAACTCGCCAAATTTCCGATCATTTGAACAGTTGAGGCCAAAAAGAGTACAGTCGAACACTAAAGCAGACATTATAGGGGAGATGAGCAGGGCCAATGTAAAGTGTTCAACAGGGGGGGGCCCGTTCGTACTTCAACAACTGTACACTCGACAACTAAAGCAGAGATTATAGGGGAGATGAACAGGGCCAATGTAAAGTGTTCAACAACAAAAATTGTAGCGGTGGCGCATGGACTACGATGGAGCGTACGGAACTGTTGGTATGATAGGGCCCGAGCATAAATTTGTCGATAACCGGAAAGGGGTTCTCAATACGGTAGCTCCTCGCATTTTGTAATAATTGTCAGGAATGTAAAATCGAACATATTATAATCAATAGTATAATGAATGCACAATCTAATGATCTAAAAGTCTTTTCCTTTTTCTCGACATATTTATCATTGACACGTAGGTCAAAAAATTCATAGAAAATCCCAGCNGAGAGAGAAAACATTCCAACTCGTTTGAAACGGCTGGAACGTTTTCCTTGTTCTCCAGCGATCTACACATAATGGGATTAATTCAATAATAGATTAATGAATAAGATTTTTCGCAGATTATTGCGAGATTTAGATG